TAATTCGTTTTTTTAAAATGAATTCTCATTAATACTTTGATATTTTCATTTAAAACTAGCGATTGCCTCTATGTCAAATGTTGGCACTCGTCTACTATTGTCTCAGGCGAAATAAAGAATATGGTAAGTCCCATTTTGCCTCGTAAGAAGTCTTATTCAGTTCCAGCTCTAACCATCAGCCCTCTCTAGAACAACCAAAGCTGTAGCAGGCACAAACATTGTGCAATGCGCTAAGTGACCAAACATCTTGCGATGAAACACTTTCTTGGAGCATGTGACGATCACCAGAACAACCCACATTTCATCAAGTGAAGGATAATTATTCTGGGGCCACAAAAGGCATTTCTGAGCGTGACAGCTAGGTGTGCAGTGTCTTTGTGTCCTTTTCCTTCATCCATCAAATTCCTTCTGGGATCAACCAGAGGGGGATTGTTTTTCCTGAAGTGATCGCCAAGCAATGGCTTGGTAGTGTGCACGTTTTACATTTTTTAAGAATGCTTCAAGTCGTAGGTGGCAGTGAACATAGTTTGGGGAGACGCAGGTGAAAGCCCTTGCCATTTTTTAGCAAGCCAAAGCTGAATGCGAACTGTGAACATGTCCACAGATTTTTTCTTGCCATAGCAAGCTGATACGAATGTTGTGGTCACCTTGCGTTGCTAGACATCAGGCAAACTTCAAGCAGTTACGTCACAACTGCCCAGACAAGGTGTGGCCAGCACAAAGGACTCTGATTACAGTTTATTTACCAATTCCGAAGTATGTTGCGCAACCGTGTCGCAACCTGAAGGGCGTGAGCTTGAATGAGATTTTTGAGCGATCATCTGGTGTTCTTTTTGCTGTCTCACAAGTTCAATCACCGTCCTACGTTCACTGGGATTCCATGCAGACTGGGACTTGAGGTCACTTCGATTCATTAATTAGTAGACTACGATAGTACAAACACATCTGTGTCATCGACATGCACTGAATGGATTTCCACTTCTTCTAACTGCACCGCAATACCTAGTTGGACATAATATTGTCCGCTTCTCATGGCGTCGTTGTGACTGGTCATGACGTCTTCTTTGATCCCATCATTTTGAATTTCAAGTCTGGGGAGTGTTGCTTTCTCCTGTTCAAACTAGCTTGTGTATGCGGTGCTGTTTGTGTTGGAAGATCCTGTCACTGAGACAGTTCATCTAGATGATCTGGTGTCTGCTATTCTTTGTTTTCAGTGACAGTCAGTCCAACTTTCTGCGGCGGCAGGGTTGTCTTTCAGCTTGTCAGATGGACAGACTTACTGGCCGCCGGCCTTCTCTTCCTCCATCTGGGCCACAGATTTCGTGCTAAAATCTCTTGTAATGGTCGAATATCTAGCGTACACCTACATAATCATTCAGAGTCTTTGAATACGTGTCCTTCACATTTGAAACATAATCTTCAACTGTAACCAGCCTCGAGCAGTGGCATCACCCAAAGCCAAAGCACAAGAACCCGTCTATCACCATCACATCGTCATGCCTTGTTTTTCTACTCGATACTTCTACTTGGAGACTCTTCTTTAGCTGTGGACTTGTCTGCCTGCAACCTCATACCCTATCAGTGGTAAACATCGATGTTGGCACTGGTGCAAGTTCATGGAGAGAACATGCTTGATATCATATCCCGCGAACTGGATAGCCAGACCAATGACCGTGCATAATGTTATGCATTTAAGTCCGTTAATCTTGTTGCCCCAATGATTACTCCCTCTTTCCTACAGTCATTCTAATAACATTCTTCGGGAATGGTCCATAAAACCCGTCTCTGGCCATTTTGTTTCAATGTCTCCATCTGTTTCTTTCAAATGAACGGCAGTTCTGGACATTGACCCTCAGCTTTGCAAATTGCCCAGTTAATTTTTACGATATTCACTATCCCTTCTGGGTGGTTTGCAGCGTCCATGGGCCGTCAATGCACATCTCTAGCTTTCTGCGGATAACGATGTTTTAGTGCCTTGCTTTACAGCCTTGTTGCTCTAGAGAGGGGCTGATGGTTAGAGTTGGAACTGAAACACTGTCTTAACCAAAAATGGGCTACCATATTCTTTATTTCGCCTGAGACAATAGTTAACCGAGCTGCAACATTTGACATAGAGCCATCAAAGTATTAATGAGAAATTTATTTTTTAAAAAACGAAATATAATGGAGCTACCTATGGGCTGGTTATTTAAATGATGCAGTCAGTTCATTCGAAACAACTGACTGCAGTGTAACTGTGTACTTGTAATGACCTTTGACCTGTAATTTTGGCAAAATATGCCACATCTAGACTAAGGCCTCTTGACTTTCTCCCCATTGCCAATACTGTCGGTGAGAGCAATGGTGCCTCTAGATCGACAGATCTGATATACGGTAAGCGTTATCAACTTTTGGGTAATAAAAACAGCTATTTTAGCACATCACTTAGTTCTTCTTTTGTAATAGGTTGGTCAACATTCAAAATATTTGAACATGCGGTTTTAAATGATAGCAGGGCATCTCCTTGAACAATTATTAGGGGTAAAAAGCACCATTAAGCCTGTTCTTGGCCAAGGCAGGGGTGCTAAAAGCAATATTAAGATTTCGAGGAAAGGTCAAAAATTGTGACCTTTTGACTCTCTAACTCATTATTATCACTATCATTAGAAAGAGCTCTTAAATACCAACATTTTGAGTGGTCATGATCCATTAGCTTTAAAAACAAAAGATCTAGTAGACTTTTGTTTTCCCCACCCCTAATTTTTCGCCAATTTTTGAGTTGAGCTCTCACACACAAAAGGGTTAATTAAGAAAATTGCTCAAGGGTGACGGGTGGTCATCCACCTGAAAGTGAAGACCAACACCTAGTCTACAAAGAATCAGCAAAGAAAAAAACTTTTTAACTCCTCAGTGAGGGGTTCGCCCAAAATCAGAGGTTTGGCTCCCGGACTATAATGTTAATGAATGTATACAACCGGAACTTAGAGTTATAGCCCCTTGTTCGTGGGTTGTTGCATTCTGGGACTGATTTAGCGCCATTTACGCGCTTTTTGCTGTTTTTGTTTGCGTCTGTTTTCGATGAATTTTCCTCGACATGTATTTAGAAGCAACAATGCCGGCTAATCCTTCTGCGACTTGACCCGACGTATCGAAGTACGAGCTTCGGTTTAGTGTTAAGCGACACATCCAGTTGGACTCTTTCCGGAATGTAAGAAAACACATTTAAAGCGAGCATGCAGGCGCGCAAATCCATTTTGGAAATGGGGGGGAGGGGACACCAGTAGGCGAGCACGGCCGAAGGGGGGGTGTCTAGGCCTCCCCAGAAAATTTTGAAAATTAGACCCCCTCAGATGCGTTTTCTGCGCACGTGGGGGGGGGGGCTCCGGAACACACGCGGTACACGACACAACACGCCGCACACACGCGCTCCAGCACACACACACACACACACACACACAACACACACACACACACACACACACACACACACACAGCACACACATAGCATTTGCGTTTGTGATTAATGCATTACGAAAAGGGTGTCCACATGCAGTCATAAAATCAAGAAACAAAAAGCGAGAAAAACCAAAGTCATTTGGTGTTGAGGCTGTCACAAAATATAATTGGTCCGTTATTATGTTGTCCATTGTTAGATCATATATGCGTGATACATATATCATCAATTTGCCAACGAAAAATTTACATCATTAAAACCGTTGCTTCAGTAGTTACTCAGTGTCCTCTTTGCGTGTGAATTATAACTTGTTTTCCAGCTTAATCTTGAAGCCGTGTCTAATGTGAGTGATATCTCCTAAACTATTCATAAAACATACATTTTCTTCTTGGATGCATTTCTGCATAAGAATTATTTATATAGAAAAAAACGCTACGCTTAAAAAGCAAAAACGGTACTAAATTTATCAAGACACATTTTTCTTCAAGTCTGTGCATGATCATTATTATGCCTCTAAATGCACTTGAATGAAATGAAACTGGCCAACAGCAAAAAAAGGGAAAGAAGCCAATCGTTGACGCACTATGCACACACGATAAAAAGGTTCTCACCAGCGCGCGCCGGAAGCAGTTTCGATTGGGGGAGGGGGGGGCAAAGACCTAATGGGGCCTCTCACGATTCTTTTATCGGCGATGTGCTGTGAGCGCGTTGTGCGCGACGTGGCGTTGCGTGAGCACGTCGTGTGTGAGCACTCGCACTACCCTCGTGTGTGCGACGTGGTGCTCCGTCGAGCGGTGCACGCCATTGTGCGGCCGTGTGTAGCGTCGAGCGCGTGTGTGCGCGTGTCGTGCGTGAGCGCGTTGTGTGCGACTGTGGGTGCAGTCGAGCTCTGTGTGTGTGACGGATTGTGTGCTGACGCGCGTGGTTGCGACGTGGGTGCGTGAGCGCGTTATGTGTGACGCGTCGGCCTGCGATTTATTGAGCCGCATGTTGTGTGACGTGGGCTGGGCTGTGAGCTCCTGTGTGTGACGTGTGTGCGTGAGCGGGTGTGCGGACGTGGGTGTGTGCGGCCGTGTGTGCGTGAAGCGCGTCTTGTGCTGCGGGCTGCGTTGTGTGCGGGACAGTCCGGCTCAAGCATATAACTCCCGTGCACGTGTGTGCTTGACGCGTCGTGTGGTTGAGCACGTGGGTGGTGAGCTCTGTGTGTTGCGTCTGTTGCGCGGAGCGCGTCGATGCGCGTGATGTGCGACGTTGGTGCGTGAGAGCGTGTGTGCGAGTGGGTGCGATGAGCGCGTGCTGATGTGACGTGCTGAACGTGGGTGGGCGCGACGCGCGTGTGTGGAGCGGTCGTGTGCGCGAGCGACGTTTGTGCGGCGTCATGTGCGAACGTGTTAGTGCATGAGCCGTGTGTGCGGCGTTGTGTGGCGTTGAGCGCGTGTGATGTGGCGTCGTGTGCGTGAGCGCGTGTTTGTGACGATGCTAGTGCGTGATCGCGTGTGTGCCGACATGTGTGCGTGCAGCGCGTGTGTGCGATATGTGAGCGGTTGGAGCGCGGCCCATGTTGCGACGTTGGGTGTGTTGCGAGTATGTGAGGTGAGCGCGTTGTGTGCGACGCTGGCAGTGTGTGAGCGCGTATGTGCGGCGCTGATGTGCGTGAGCGCGTATGTGCGGCGTGTGGGCCGTGACGCGGTGTGTGCGGCGTGGCGTGCGTGAGCGCGTATGTGCGGAGGTTCCAAATGTGTGCGGTTGAGCGCGTATGTGCGGCGTGGTCGGGCAGTGAGCGCGATGTGTGCGGCGTGGGTGGCTTGGTGAGCGCGTATGTGCGGCGTGGGGCGTGAGCGCGTGTGGCGTGTGCGAGTCACGTCTTGCGACGTCGTGTGCGACGTGTGTCGACGGTGAGCGCGTATGTGCGCGCGTGTGGGCGTTGACAGCGCGTATGTGGGCCGTGGTGTGCGTTGGAGCGCGTATGTGCGCGGCGTCGTGGCGTGAGCGCGATGTGTGCGGCGTCTGGGGGCGGCGGTGAGCGCGTTTATGTGCGGCGGTGTGGGCGTGAGCGCGTTGTTGTGCGACGTGTGTGCGACGTGTGTGCGTGAGCGACGTTATGTTCGTGCGTGTGGCGCGTAGAGCGCGTATGCTGCGGGACGTGTGGGGGCCGCCCCGTGAGCGGCGTTGTGTGCGACGTGTGTGCGTGACGGCGCGTATGTGCGAGCGGGTGTGCCATGAACGCAGTGTGTGCGGCAGTTGGCCTCTGTGCGCCGACGCGCGGTGTGTGCGACGTGAGCGTCAGATCACGCGCAAGCCGGCAGCGAAAACTTAAAATGGCATGAATAATTTGTTTTAGCTCATACATTTTATTTTTTATTTCCCATCTTACTTTTGGGGACGCGTTTTGGTTTTGCCCCCCCCCCCTCACTTTGAATTTGAGGGCGGCTGCCCCCCCCCCCTGCCCCCACTTACGGCCCGCTTGGTTCTCACTTATCACAAACACACACCCACGCGCCGCATGAACACACCACACACACACACACGCATACTTACACATCAAAATTCATTAGTGCATCCAAATCGTGGGGCGCGGGGGGGGGTCGACATTTATATGATGGTCCCCCACTCTAAAAAATGTCGTCAGGGGGACATGTCCCCCTGCCCCCTGGATTTTGGCCCTGCAGATGGCGTCAATAAATTGGTCCATCCTTCTATGGAGTTGCGACGTTCAGCTGAGAGACTGGCTGAGATGCCGGAAATATCCGCAAGGATATGACTACCAGTGATGAAGAGGCCTGCAAATGTATGTACTACCAGTAATAGCATCACACCACAACCCATGAAGCAGGACAGGAAGGCAACATCAAATTTCAACAGCATAAATTCAGCAATAAAGCCTGTACCCGTTTTACTTAAATTATTTGGCCTCTAACCAAGCATGACACTTAGAGGATGTATTTATGCTCACTCACTTAATAAATAGCTGCTGCATGGAATAAAGGTTAAGTAAAATTCGTTGTGTATTGACTTCTCTCTCTCTCTCTCTCTCTCTCTCTCTCTCTCTCTCTCTCTCTCTCTCTCTCTCTCTCTCTCTCTCTCTCTCTCTCTCTTGATAATATATAACAGTGTTGGTAATCTCCCCTCCCTGGCGTAAATGTGAAACAAAGATAAAAACTGAGATGTTTCATAACTAAGATGCTACGTTTCCAGATGTAAAGACAAACTTGCAATCCTCACCATCGGTATTTAGCAGTATAATAATACTTCATTGAACCACATTGCAAGTCTTACGCTAACGTTTTCAAGCGAGTACATGGGACGTTTGACTCGACTAGAGATTTCCTCGTCCTCACAACACAACTCACATGTAACCGGCAATATCATTCGAAGATTCACTCGCCACATATTGCAGGGTAGTAAATATGCCAAATGGACCGATTTACTAGCTCATGGTTGCTAGATAAAAATTACCATATGACTAGACTGATATACCGAGCTCCTGTATATCTACGTGTCCTTGCAATTGGTATTGACAGATAGGACTTTACCTATGACTGTGAAGTTGTACCAACTGCAGTAGTAATTACAGCCATTCAATTCCCTGTCGTGCTTGCAACGACCTACCAGATATTCCCGTGTTAGCCTAATAAAAATTCGTATAACATGTTAAGCGTACTGTTAAGCTATACTGGTCAGCTAACGAAGCATATGTCTAAAGGAATATAATTGTCACATATATAGTCATGGCCGTGCTTCATTTGTGACCAATGAATTTGTCAGGCAAGTGAATGTTTTGTAACGATATATACACCATGTCAAAAGACGAGGTTCTTATTCGCTCATGTTTTGACAATTTAAAGTAGGAATTATATCTACATTTGCATGAACATAACAATGATGAAATTAAGCATAGCCTTCTCTTCAGAGTTCTTTCTAGAGTTGTTTTGCCTCTATAGTCTCTCTTCGCTTGCCTCTCAAGGTATACAGTGCCGGTATCACCTATTTCTACTAAATGCGCCTTCTATACATCTAATCTTCTCGTGAAAAACGCACGAAAAACGCTCGCTGACTTTAAACACTCGTTTTGAGCTGCTTGCTTGAGCATCTGCTTTGAACGCTGGCCACCTGCAGGAAACACAGCCGGTCCACAGGACACACAATATAGACGTTAGCATCTGTAGAGATAACAGATCTTCATCATCACACTCACAGAAGCGGCAACAAGGCTTAACAGCAATAATACGTGTAGACAAGGGTATAGCAGTAGAACAATCGCTGTTTTGTTTTGTCACTCCAAGTGAAGTGCAAGAGCAGAAAGCACATTGTGACAGCAAGTGCAAGAATTCAAGTTTTTTATGCACGAAGAATCCTATTACAGATTTCGGATTTCTTCAGATCCATTTCTTTTAATAGTTTGAAACAGAATTGTTTGCATAACAAATTAAGCGTGCGGCCCAGCCTTCGGACATTGAGACGTGCTGGAGCTCCCCATACATCCTTTAGCATGTTGTCCATCTTCCAGTAGTCGGCTGGACCACCCAGCTGCAAATGCTGGACCAAATGTTTCCAGGTTTTTGTGGCTAGGCAAGCTATTCCACCCACCATCGGTGACCACACAATCCCACCTCCATTTGATGAGGTTGCCATCCAGCCTTCCATCACTGACGATGCTGTCTAGGCCTCCAGTTGGTGACCACCCGGTCCAGCATGTTGGTCAGCCTTCTATCACTGACCACACCGTCTGAGCCTCCTGTTGGTGACCACACTATCCAGCTTGTTGTTCTGCCTTCCACCACTGATCAAACCATCAAGGCACCTATTAATGACCACACCGTCCCAACCCAATCAATGACCATGCGATTAAGCAGTCCTTCGACGGCATTTCTTGAGGCTTTCATCAGTCATCGTGCCGTCCAAACGCCCACTGCTGACCAGCTTTCCAACCCTGATCCCATTATTGACCATGGCATGGAGGCTTCTACCACTACTGCTTTCCAGGCTCTCATCCCAGCTGCTTAGGGAGGCACTGTGAAACCTTAGCCCTGCAGAGCCTTGCCTACACCTTGCCTTGTATTCGCTCTACTGCTCCCTGAACCATGCCTAGATGCCGCATGCTGCAATAGCTACATACCACCAATCCATTTGGTGAACTTGGAGTATAAAGGCAACTAGGATTGCAGTCAGATGCATTTCTGCTAGCTTGATGCGTGACGTCAGTGCATCATCGTCTGCTCTCAAGGCGTCGTCACGGCACCAGCTAATGGGGGTCATTGCACGCCGTCGATCAATTCCAGACTGCTAACTGCTAGCGCGGTATCTCACGATGTTAACCCTAAGTCGGGGACAGTCAACGTTTCCTCACGCATCGCCAACTCGCCGTAGCACTCCCACTGCATCTATACATTTGCAGTCACGACTGTGCCGGTCGTCACACAGCAAGTGCAGTCGATCACAACTTGTTCAGTGAAAATTTCCACATCTGCGTCAGTTCTTTCTTGTTGCACTTCTCTATCGTGAGTCCCTTGGCGGCGTGATGCTGGCTGTCTATGCACAGTTCGACTCCCTGTATGGCATGCCTCAGCATGCGGTCGTTTTCCACCCGCAGCCACTTCTGCAAAGCAGAAAAGCAGGTGTGTCAGTAGTTACGTGCAGTAAGCAACAACAAAAAGCATGGGCAAAGATGCTGATCTGGTCAGTCAGGCCAGATAGCATTGTCCAGTTAGACCACATTCTGGATATCTACATACTGCTTGTGAAATGGAATTTATGCATTCAGTGATACATTGCACGCTGAGCACGCACCTGCGATGACGTTCCGGTACATGGCCGCATATGTATCGATGAGCCAAGGTCGAACTTAACGACGTCCAAACACAGATCACCGTGTTTGATAGCACCTGTCTTGGTAAATGCCCATTCCTGTAAAACGTATAAGACAAATGTGTAAAAACATTAGTCCTATAACAAGATAATGCAATGAAAAAATAAGAGTGCGGAGTAAGATTCTGCCGAAACATTGACACACTTGTAACAATCATAGTGATTGTAAATCTGTCATGTTGATATCAGTACCACTGGGGCTGCCAGGGTCTATGTCTCCCTGGGTACTGCCGGAACGTACCCTGATACTATCTAATATGCCGGACCGTACCTCGCCTACTCCACTAACGAGTCTATACTAGGGAGTCGCCTACACCTACTCCCTAACCCTAACCATATCAGATAGTTACCATCCATTACGTTCTGGCAGTACCCAGGGAGACATAGACCCTATCAGCACCACTGGGTGTCATATGTACCATATGTTATGACATGAACACATGTAATTAATGCTGGACCAAAGAAATTCGCAGATGATAAATAAATAAATAAATAAATAATTATATATAGATACATATAAGTGCACATATACGTAAATTTACTGCAATAAAGCTAGTGACACTTGTGTTCCGATACGAAGATTTGGTCATATACGATAAGCACCATCAACTCTTGCTAATATCACATGTCTGATGCCTACCAAATATCACTGCCTAAGAGAAAGTCAAACCCTACAATTCTAACAAAGTTGCCCATAAGCTACGGTCAGTAGTGATAGCTAGTAGGAAGACCCACCTGGTTCCCACCGGAGAAATGGCAACTATAAAGCCCCACAGTCTGTCCACTCAGATGACCCATGGTGTCCAGACACATAACACCTTGCTGAATGGATCCGAATGCCAAGTCCTGTTTATCTGGTACTCTGCAATATTATTACAACTGTGAATAGGCTACAATCATGACGCAAGATGTTAAAGATTCAATGGCACTAAGTTATAAATACATGGTTTCATCAATAACACGAAAAAAACAAAAGCGCATAGAATAAATTTCATCTGTGATTTATGTGCACACATATGTATAAAGCTACCATTCACTTTATCAACAAGTGCATCCATATATAGAAGATGACTTTGGTTAAAGGCTCATTGACTCACTTCAACTCTGGATAGACGTTATCAATGTACCACTTGAATGGTTTGCAATGCAGCCTCTCCTTCAGTTCCAAGCGATTTCGTATGCTGCAAAGATGCAAATGCATTTCTGTTATGATGTTTTATCGACAAATGAACAACCATCTTCTGCTCAACCAAGTCTTCTCACTGTCATAAGAACGCACTTAGTCCGAGGTGAGTTAGTTTAGGGTGCTCACGTATGCTAGCTGCCGACCTCTCCAGATTCGGATGGTTTTCGCCATAGACACTACCAACGGAATTATGCAGCCCTTGATCAGCCAGCCGATTATACAAAAACGTAATTCTGGTGGGCAAAACCTAGGAGCTGTATTTTGTCTATAATACAGCTCCTTGGGTGACACAAACCCTTACACTGTTTAAAACAGTGATGCCAATTGTCAGGCAATATCAAGAGCCAAAGGGAATTTGCCAAGCATGCCTGCATGGATACAAACAATTCACAAAAACCAATAAATCCGCAGGAAAGGTCAGGGGAAAAAGTCTATTGCACTTATGAGTGCACTTAAATTAAATTGGCCTTCATACATACAATATTTATATTTGATTACACATTGATATTTACCGTTTGATATCAATGGAAAATAATTAAAACCCCAATTAAAATACTGAAGTTGGATAGAAATTGTGCCTTCCCTTTTGCTAGTACACAGTTACATTCAAGTGGAGCTGCTGTAGCCAGAATTAATATTTGCACATGTCTCACACTAGGCGCCTAGTCATCCCACAAAAAATGTTGAAAATGTACATTGCAGGAGATGGTATTTGAGGCACTTTTGAGTAAATGTACAGCCTTCATTCTGACTACGACAATTATCTTTTTAGTAGAACTATTCTCTTCGTGATCAACAAGATGTGATCACTAAAGATCACTAAAACTAATCATGTAATTTTCGTTTTATTATCAAGACATGTTGAACTAACGTACATTCTTAAACTCTCTATTTCTCTCTCTCCCTCTCTGTGTGCGTGCGTGCGTGCGTGCGTGCGTGCGTGCGTGAGTGCGTGCGTGCGTGCGTGCGTGCGAGCGTATGCGTGTGCGGGTGCGTGTGGGCGCGTGTGTGTGCTCAAACACACACATCACTCATTGCACATCACATCACATCACGGCATTCCCCAAACCCCCACGGCCACCACGGCATCGCCCAATGGTCAAAGCATCTTCAGGCAAGCCAACATAAGCTTTCACTCAGATCCCAGGAATCCCTCCCGCCCAGAGCCAACGAGGTATGGCCGACGTGGTTGTGCCTAAATCGCCTCAGGACAGGTTTTGGTCGATGTAGGGCACTCATGCAGAAATGGGGATACACTGAAGATGGTCCAATCGAATGCGACTGCGGGGAGGACCAGACTATGGGACATCTCCTGATATGCCCCTTATATTATTATTATTATATTATTATTGCCAGAGCCCTGTAGCCCTGGAGGCTTTCAACCACCGTGCCAAGTCCTGTGTGCTGCAGTGGCTGGGCCGAGTGTAGTGTAGTGACCCGAGAAGAAGACGGCATTGTTTTGGCAGTCTTATTTGTTTATAAACAATTTAGTCTGACTGACTGCATGACTCTCTCTCTCTCTCTCTCTCTCTCTCTCTCGCCCTCTCTCTCTCTGCAATAAAAAAATGTTTGGTGAAATGATGTGTACCCAACTGCGTATCTGCGTTATGGTAGCTACGCCCCTGGATAATTAAGAACTGCAATATTATACTTGTCACTATCAGTTACCCTTCAAATCATGCATTAATAATATACTGCATATAGATCAGATCCTGCATCTTTACACTTTTTTAAACATTACACCATGCCTGCCTGTATCATGCAAAACGAAACT